CTCATTGTCTTTGCTATGTCTGAGTGGCATCCCCACGCTGCCTTGCTGGTTGATGTCGAACCTAACCTGCATGGTGGTGGAGGAAAGAGTGAGAGAATGGGGTCTGTCTATGTTAGGGGCTGGGCCTATGTTATTTCTGCTTTCATTCAGTTTGACTGAAGCTCAGTCAAATGGCCATAACCTAACTGCAAGGGAATCAGGGAATGCATTCCGGCTGTGTCCCATGGAAGAGAAAGGAAGGGTTTTGGTGATAAGTCCCTACTTTAGGCCACTGCCTCTCAAACTAGAGCTGCACCAGAGTGACCTGGAAGCTTAATACTGTACGGCTGCCTGGGCTCCTATCTCAGTGTTTCTGATTATGCCAATCTTGGATGGGGCCAAGAATTTATAGTTCAGACAAGCTCTTAGGTGATGCTGGTTCTGCTGGTTTAGGGGCCACACTCTGAGATACTTGCTAGTCAGGAAAGTGGAGACCTATCTTAATGATAGTGACTGAATAGCTAACAGGGAAGGAGCGGGCAAGATAGCCGTAGCCAGCCATTTGGATTGTTGAAAAGTGGAAAAGATGAGGAGAACTGGAGATTTGGAGTATTGAGGCATCAGGTGCAGAAGAGATGAAGCACCTGGCTCTGCAGGAGGAGGAGGATAAGCACCTCTGTTGTCAGGCTGTCAGCTCCTGGAGCTCTGTTGGAGCTGTAGGGCTGGAGAGAAAATTACCTAGTGTAGGTACAGGTGAGGTGACATGGAGCGGTGACAGGGTGGGGGTGGGGGAAGTTTTGTGAGAATTTGAGGAGATGTGGGGTGGACCAAGTCTGGGTCTTGGACACAGTTGAATGGGTGTTGGCTTTCTAGTTTCTGGATAATGGTAAAGTAGGGATAAAAACCTTGGTCTTCCAGGGAGTTGTGAGAATGAATTAGGCTGCAGGTTTGTGAACTGGGCTTCGTTTGTGCTGCTTTTAGGTTCAAGAGTCATTTCTGCAGTGTTAGCACCAAACCATATGTGTGCTTAACAACTCAGCAGCCACTGGAAAAAAAGTAGTAAACATCAGTGGAAATAAATGTATTTTTATTTCTTTAATAATCACAGTTACATTCTGGTGGGATGTATGCCCGTGGGCACTGCCTGTGGGCACTGCACAGCTTCTCAAACCCTGGAATCCTGTTGGGCCTTGCTGCCCTCTTTTCCCTGTTCCCAGCTGCTGCTGAAAGCCCAGCTTTGCCAAGATACCATGTCACTGCAAGGAGTGGTGGTGCATCCCAGTAGCAGATTGGAAAACTGAAAATGACTGAGTTAGTATAACAAACGATGTCTGGGCCATGCCCAGTGTCACCATGGCCCTCAAAAATATCAAAATTGGGTTTGTAGTGCCTCTGAGAACCCAGCGGTGATTGAGGTGCTTTGGCACCTGCACTGGAAACTAGAATTCGTAGTTTTGTCCAACTGGTTACCTGATACCTGAAGGTTATCAAAGTGTCCTTACCTGATACCTGAAGGTTATCAAAGTGTCCGACACGGGGTGGGAAACCCAGTCCTGTCCCAAAGGCGCATGAAGTCTCGTGGGGAAAGTAAAATGTTGAATCTTATGATCCTGCACCTGTAGACTCCCACTGGGGCCAGTGGCATGAAGAATGATTTCAAGGAATATTTAACCTGATCCAGAGAAGCTTTCTCAAGTGGGCGACACTTGAGTTGTTTCTGATGACTGAGGAGTTAATGAGGCAGGAAGGGGGGTGAACTGCATTCTAGGCAGAGGGAATAACATTCTGGGCTCAAACTTTGGTGAAGGATCCTGCTTTCTTTTTGCCTCTCCAATACTCTGTACCTAGTGTGTTGGCAACACCTGAATGGTTGAATGAAACAAATCCATGGATCTTGCAGCTGGGTGTTAAATAACTGCTCCAGATGGAGGCAGCAACCAGAATGAGCAAAGGTCCTGTGGTTAGCAGACGTTGCTGAATATGAAGAAAGAGAGGAAAGGTGGGTGGAGCAGAGGGTTGGAAGGTGGAAGAGTCAGCAGGGGTTCTGTTGAGTCTTTAGGCTACTGGAAGAATTTTAGTCTCAGATAATGACTTTCCAAACCTGGGGGAACAAGGAGAAGTTGTCTTGGTGAACTTCATAGGTGACAGATGATGAATATAAACAGCATTAGACTATTAAGCTTAGTTTGATTTAGGCAATTTACACTTTTCTTTTACCCTGGAAGTAGAGTCCCATGGCAAATCAGCTTCCCAAAGAGGGGGGGTTCTCATCTCTAAGTGTGAAAATGATATGCAGAAAGGGCCTGCTGGAGTGGACCTAGGTTGTTGCATAAGCCTTTCCAGTTCCCTGACCCCCTGTGCTCAGGTTCCCCTCGGCCATGGTCCTGGAAGCAACTTCAGGTCCAGCTTGCTGCTACCTGAGTGTGCGGGACCCCTACACATGTGAAGTCACATGCAGGGGTGAATTCCAGCTACACATGTGAAGTCGCATGCAGTGTCCTGCGGTAGCTGTTAATCTGCCACCTGAGGTTGACTGTAGTATCTGGGCCCCATTTGAAGTGGTGGCCGTCACACCAAATCCTGACGGACCTGTCCTGTTCTCAGAGTGGCCTGATTCTGCGTCCATTCTCATTTAAAGAATCAAGTCCTCTCTCCCTCCCTGGGTGGTTGTGGTAGGGGCCTGACTTCCATGGGGTACGTGGGAGGGACTTGGTTTCTCACTTCCTGCATTTGACCCCTTGAGTTCAAAGATTCCTTTGCTTGTCTTCTTTGCTGAGAAATGGGCTGGGGAAACGTTGATGCATTGTGGTTCCTCTGCACAGGTACTTCGTACTGGATTTTGAGGCTGGAATCCTGCAGTATTTCGTGAATGAGCAAAGCAAACACCAGAAGCCTCGAGGAGCCCTGTCTTTATCAGGAGCCATAGTGTCTCTGAGCGATGAGGCTCCCCACATGCTGGTCGTATACTCTGCTAATGGAGAGATGTATAAACTGAGAGGTATGTACTTCTGTTAATTTTTCAGACAGTCTTGTGGGCGACACACATGGTTGCTATGGTGACAGTTGGGCGGGAGTTTAATCGCGTTGAGCAGTTTGCTGTGTCTGAGGGCTCTGAAAACTGACAGTTGTTGCCTTTCTTACCCTTGGGGTGGGAACATGGAACTGACGTTAGGAGATGCTTGTCTTAATTTACTGAGAAATTAAGGACAAAGGAAAGGTGCATGATTGCAAAGCCCGCTGAGCCTTGGGAATTCTGACAATTTTTAATATTCACTCAGTATGTGTTTCCTTTGACCTTATAGTTTGAATCTTCACAACAGTGCTCTGTGGGCTGTGCTGTAAGGACAGAGCAAGCCTTTTCAAGCCTTTTAAGGACCATGGTGCTCTCTATCCCTCACCCAGGTTTCTCTAGAACCATCTTACTTAATCTTTTGGAATATTAAGTGCTGGGGAGAAGTCAACCAGTGTAATTTTGTTTTGTATGCTTTCTCCCTTTCTCTTTGCTTCTGGACCAGTGGTATCTCCCAGCTGGCCTCCCTGTCAGTGCAGACAGCTCTCTGGGGACCCTAGCGTTTAACCATAACTGTGGACCCCACCAGCTGCAGGGCATGTTGATCACACAGGTTTTCAGAAATGTCTGACTTGGCAGTGGACTTTTCATTTGATTGCTAATCTGTTCCCCCAGGGTTCTGCTGTAGTTGTATTGTGATAGTTCTGTCAGTTTTCTTCTAATGAAATTACTAAATAACAAAAGTTTATAAACACAGCTGGCAGTGCACACATGTGCACGTACACACGCAGACACATGTGCAGAGTCCATGTAAAGGTAACCTGTATTAAGTTTTGGGGGTGACATAATTCTGCCCTCTTCCATAGCACTTTCCTTTGCTCAAGGAAGTAGCAAGTACAGAGAAGTTCATCTAGGCCCCGGGTGCTGACCGGGGAGGTCATACCTCTGTCCAGTTTTCACCACTCTATCTCAGAGTTTTACTACCAGAAGATGGAATAAGCTGATGTTTCTGTATTACCCACATGCAGGTTGTATTTCAGAATCCATAAAACAATCCAAAACCTTATGACATAAAAATGCTTATAGATAAGTTTTCCAGTTTCTGGGAAGTGTGCTAAGATTCATGGTCTCTTTTAGATTCATGTGGTGTACACTCCAGCTAGCTAGATTTATATGTTCCTTGGTTTCACGTTGCTGTTTATTGCTTTTGTCAGAGCAGAAACAATAGCAGGTGAAAAGCTTAATGCTCCACCTTCCCCTGGTCTGTGGTTTATAAAATGACACAAAGCCATACAGAAGTAAAACCCAACTCATTTTACAATTGAGCCATTTCATTTTGCTTTTGAGTTGGAATTATGAACCCTCAGGTTTTTTTTTTTTTTTTTTAAGGGTAGCTTTAAAAGCAAATGTCAAAGTTGTATTGTCTACATGAAATAACCACAAAGGCTAAATTTAGCTTTAATAAATACCTGTATCTTTAGAGTTGACTTTGGGTCTTCCCACAGGACCTGCGCATGAGTTCTCACGTTTCACATTTCCCCAACATGGAGAATTGAATCGTGGTACCCTGAGAGGCACAACTTTGGGGGACATTTTCTGTGCTGAGCTTTGGATATGGCCATAAATTGGCAATTTTCAAATTCACCTGTTCATTAAGGAGAAAATTCACCTGGTTTTAGACTGGACTGCTATTCTAAGTTCTTAAAGTTCAAGTTGAGATTTACTGAAAAAGACAATATTTATGCAAGTTAATTATGCAATTCAATTGATTAAATTTTCTGAAAGCCTGTTACTCATCTGAATTATTTTAAGAAAATAATTTTCTATTTGAGAAATGGGAGTAGAGAAGGAAGATTATGATTCTGCACTTGGTAAAGTCTTTTTGGGGGAAATTTGAGCATCTGTAAGGGCTGCATTTGGTATCTTGAGCTATCCGATCATAATGTGAATCCTTGAACACATGACAAGATAGCGGTTCAACTGAATGCTTCCTTTGTAGATGCTAATAATGCCATTGTCCCATCCAGCCGATAACTAAAGATTCTGAAAAGCTGTGCTTTGATTATAATATTAGTCACATGTGGTAGAGGCATTGAAAAATAATCATGTTTTCTCTTCTCTACTGCACTTTAAAAAAAAATTATTTATTTCGGCATACAGATCTGGGCTTCAGGCCAGAGGTGCAGGGATGGTGAGAGGATTCACCAGCGACAGAGTGGGGAACAGAACAAGCCAATTGATGAAGTATATTGCTGAGGGGAGCAGTGGGCGGGTCAGGAGAGGTCTGTCAGGTCATGTGGATCACCTCCCTGACCGGGAACTCGTGCTGAAGTGGCTTTAGCTTCATAGTGCTATGTTTTAACCTTCTGTGCCGCCAGGGAGGTCCCCTCTGCTGCCTTTAAAAAAGTAAAAATGACCTTTTTTTAAAGGTTTACTTTTATTTACACATACAGGAAATGGGGTGTAGGACAGAGTTGTGGGTAGTGAAAGGATTCACCAGAGACAGAGTAGGGGGCAGAACAGGCAGATCTACTGAAACAGAAAGTTGAGGGGAGCAGCAGGTGGAAAGGAGAAGTCTGCTGCGCCATGTGGGTCAGCTCCCTGGCGTGGGAGTGAACTGATGCAGTGGCTGCCTGATAGCTTAATAGTCCTGACTTTACCCCTGCACCATTAGGGAGGCCTTAAAAATGACTTTTTTTTTTAGGCAAGTTTGTTCTCCTAACAGACATTTCCGAGTACATTTTTAATGTGGTTTAAGAAGAATTTTCTGTCCTCATTTGCATTTCCTTTCTTTCTCTCTTTACCCCTTACTCCTGGGCCCCCCACCCACTTAAGTGGGTGTAGTAATAAGTTGGATGTGTTTTAGAACAATTTTTGCAAGTGCTTTTCTCTATTTTAGCTGCTGATGCAAAAGAGAGACAGTTTTGGGTGACTCAGCTTCGAGCTTGTGCCAAATACCACATGGAAATGAATTCTAAGGTAAGTAACCCCCGGGGAAGCCTGAGGGCATTGGGATGATGGCTGTCTGCTCTTCTGCCCAGTTGCCTGCTTCTTCAGGGAAGCCCTTAAGTTTCATGAAGCTCTTAAGTTTCATGTCAGTTCTTAAGTTTTATCCACAATAATGGAATTCATACTTGTCTGGTTGCATTTAAATTTAAAACCAAGGGAAAAGTAGTAGAATTTGTTCATAGTTAGAATGAAGAAGCATGTGGACACTTTATTGGAACTGATTCTGGAAAGATTTCTATTGCTTTCTGAGTTGTCTGGTTAGGCAGCTGTTAATTGGTCTATTGATGAGTTCATTATGGAGGCAGAGTAGTCAGATTTACTGTTCACAAAGACTTGTGGTTGGCATTGATCCTTAAGTAAAACCTGGACCCCGAATTGACTTTGTACTCAGTAAGGAACTTCTACAGTCTGTGTGATAATGTTCTCAGGTAACTCACCATCCTCATAGAAATTATTTTCTCAGTATTCAGTCTGAGACCTTGGATGAGATGTGTGGAAGACAGAAAATAGGCATATTCATGGATTATTTGGAGGGCTTCTATCATTAAATATAGGAAGTAACTGTAAAATGTATTTGTTAATGTTTAAAGGACTACCCAGTTTGTTTCATTACTTCAAATTTAGTTACTCTCTCTGGTTGCAGTTTTCACCTGTTTTCCGTGTGCTTGATGGAAATACCCACACTTAACTTTCTGACAGTGCTGTTTACCATAGCCTGCCTGCCAACCTGTGCAGGATGGTGGAAACTGCCTTGCTTTAAACTTCGTGTCCTGCCACCAAATGCAACCTGAGATAATTTCCTCACAATGGTTTTGCTTATTGTTTTTCTCTCTAGAGATATTTTATTTCCCATGATTTTCTTAATACAGTCGCTTTCATTGTAACGCTTCTCTTGATTTGCTGGGAACAGAATCTGGGTGCCCGAAGTTACAGTCTTACTTCTAAAGCTTATTCCTCTTTGGTCTTCTTTATTTTCCAAGAATTATAGTAGCAATGCCAGGTGTTTAATCAATTTTCTGTCTATAAGCTCGTAAGACAATGTGTGTATATGTGCATATATGTAAATATATAACTATATAATATATAATCCTTTTACATTTTATAATACAGCTGTAGGGGATAAAATGAAAGGACACCTATTTCCCATATTTTCTTATAGAGACAATTGCTCCTAACTGATCTTTGTGTGTTATTTTGTTATGGTTTGTCTCGGTAGAATGTAATATGGATATATCTGTATATCTGCATCTGTGTTGTATACAAATACATAATACTGTTTTCCCTTTTGCTTTTTCACTTACTAATTTGTTTTGAAGTGCTTCCCCTATTACACGTTGGAATTGCTTTCAGGGTGACTTGCTGTTATTCTAGGAATGGATGTCAGTATTTTGTAAGTCCTCCCTGGTTAACATTGGGACTGCATGATGTTTAATGAACATATCTGTACAAATCTCTTTGTACTCCAGGTATATGAAAATCTGAAGACACACTCTAAGACCCAGTAGAATGACTGGGTCTTAGAGTGTGTCTTCAGATTTTCATAGACAGGCCCAACTGTCTTCTGAAAAGTTGCCCTAATTTGTACTTTCACCAGCTCTGTGTGTAAAGGTGCTTCCCCCGCTCACCGGCCATGGCTCTTGTCAACACAGTATTTTATAGTCTCAGAGAAAAATAATCCCGTGATTTTTATTTTCACTTTTAAAATCATGACTGGGGCTGAATATATTTTCAGTTGTTTATTGGCCACTTGTATTTCTCTCATGTCACCAGCCCATTTATAAATTTCACCCAATTTTCTATTAGTTCATCTTTTTTTTTTTTCCTTGACATGCAGTGGTTTGTGTATTAAATTTATTTGTCCTTTGTCTGTAATTTGTACTGTGGATATTTTCTCCTAGTAGGTTATTTATATTCTGATTTTGAACACATTTCTATGTAGAATATTTAATTTTTGTAGTTAAATTTATGAATATTTTCATTTTTGGTTTATATTCTGTGTCGACAGGATTTCTCTGTGCCAAAATTATGAAAACATTCTTCAGTGTTTCTTCCAGTGAGTTGAGTAATGTTTAAATCATTGATTCATCTGGAGTCTATTTTGGGAGTGAGAATTGAGGGAGTGAAACCAGAAGATGAAATGCAGTGGTTTTTGATGAATCACCAAGACAAGGGAAGGTGAAGACATCTTAATGTAGAAAAAATAAATACGGGAGAACTTGAAGATTACTTGCAGGAAATTTTGATTTCCCAAAATATTCCCTGGTTAAAGAATATAATCTTTTAATATTATAATCAAAATAAGTAATTTTGAAGTGAGGACCTGTTGGATTATTTACTTGGGAAGTGAGGTGAGAGTACTTTCATCTGTATTTATAGCATACCTGCCTATTTGATCAATGAGAAAATAAGCAAGTCAGATCCCTTTCCAGTAGACGGTCAAGAACAATCTACCTACAGATGCTTGCAATTTAACCATCAAAAAAATTATTTATTTATTTATGCACATGAGAATGGAGGTGGTAGGGGTGAGAGGGCTCACTAGAGACAGAGTGGAGAACAGAACAGGCAGATTGACTGAAATACACTGCTGAGGGGAGCAGTGGGGAGACAGGAGAGGTCTGCTGCACCATGTGGGTCGTCACCTCTGGGTCAGGGATCAAATTTATGCCACGATAGCTGGCATTTGAAATAGCTTATAATATTCATTGCATTTGTAATCCTTTCTCTAGCCTCCTGGATCCCAGATCTGACTCCAACTTTGCATTTACTACTTTGGGCTCTAATGATCTAGTTCCTGATTTGACGCTTGCACTTGATCCTGTGCTCCCTGCGAGAAAACACTTGACTACCATGTTCATTTAGGAGAACACTCAGTTTGGGGAATCTGGGTGGAGAGCTGAACACACTGTAGTTAGATCAGATTGTTGTGTGTCTACAGCTTCTGTCCTTGCTAGGTAATTGCAAATTAAAATGCAAAGTTGAGGGTACAGTCTTATGCAGATTTGGTCTTGAAGGAATAGGATTGCCTAATACAGGATTTTAAATTCATTATAAGTCTTTGGAGGTCTTGGCCGTGCAGCAGAAGCTGCTGAGTTTCAGGATTGTATAATATAAATATGCATGCCAGAAGCTCCCAAATTGCAAGTACTTCTTTTTTCCCCACCCCCTAGAATGATAGCTGATACACTGAATTCATCCGAGGCTTTGTGACATTGGAACTCTGTCTCCTCTGTGGTGACTCGGGGGTGACTTGTCCCCATAAGTGGGGTATACCACCCTTCTCTCTCTTGTGGCTTGAGGAAGCTGATGCCCAGGAAGGATTTGTGTGTGTTTACACAACCTGCCTGTGACAGCTGACAGCTGTGATGCAGGAACTCACATCCTCTGCAGTTGCCATCACATAACCTCCAAGTACCCAGTGTGTCAATCAGGGCCTGGCAGGGTATTGGGTGGTGAGAAAGGAAGCTGGGGAGTGATGACTGGCCTAGCCACCTGGCTGCTGCTGGCTGGCTGACTGGCTGGCTCCATGTCCTCTCCCACCCAGGAGAGCTTGCGTGTGGGAGCTGCCGGTCCCAGGCTCTGTACCTGTTTGAGTGTATTGGAATGGCTGGGTCGGGAGGCTCAGCTGGTGGCCCCAGTGTATTATCAGGTGAGGGTGCCCTTGTTTGAGGACATCCAGAGATTTTATCTGGGGAGGGGTGGGAGAGCTGTGGATTGCTTCTGAAATGAGAAATCTTGTCTGTCATGGGGGAGTTAGGGGAGAACTCTGGCTGTATGTTACATGTGCAGTCAAATGTCAAGAGTGAGGACATAGGAAGCTACTGTTTTATTTTTTTGCCAACAGTGTAGGATTCAGATTGTGGAAGTCTACAACTTGCTCTCTTTCTGCTGCCCCAGGGTGTGAGTCATAGAGCTTTAGGGGTGCTTTAGGCTTGGCTAGGATAGAGCGCAACAGGAAGCTCCTGCTTGCAGAGACTACCCCAGTAGCATCTGCAGAATCTGCAATCATGCCGTGACTAGGGCCAGTTAGTCCAGCATCCTGGCCCCTCCTTAACCTCTGTTTACATAAAAACGCACACCAAAATATTTATGCCAATATGAAGAAACAGGTTGATTTTTCTCAAAACAGCATCCCATTTTGTACACTCAGAAAGGGCACTGTTAGTAACATATTGACTAAATGCTAAGAGTTTGGTAATCTGACAAATGACATTGAATTTCTTTCTCTTATGACTAATCAAACCTGAAGCCTAGTCAAATAATTTGCACTAACTCAGAAGTAGTGGAATGGCTAAAAGGTAGGAAAGGAATCTAGACTCCCTTTGTTTCTCTTGTCCAAAATCTGTATGTAGGGGAGAAGGACAAAAGGTAGACTCTGGAACTGTGTGTAGAGTAGGAGGCTGTAGCCACATGAGCTATTTACATTAATGAAATAAAATTTAATACTCAGTTCCTCAGATTCATTTCAAGGGCCCAGGGGAGCCACATTCTGCTGATGGCTACCATGCTGGACAGCAGAGATGGAGAACTTTTCTATGACACAGAGCCCAGTTGGGAAGGCTGACAAGGCTTCTGTTAACACTTGTGGTTTCCAAGATTTGGTAAGAACTTACCAAAGTCTAGTTTAACGTCTTCTTGTACTAGGGACATTTTTTTTTTTTTTACATAAACAGGTTGAAAGATGCTTCCTTCATCCTTGTCTGTCCTCCCTTTCTTCCCTTCCTGTCGGGAATTCTGCTTTTTGGCCTTGGCTCAACTCTCTGGATCATGCCCACTTCTCTGTCACCTTGTCTGAAGGCAGGTCCTGGTGTTCCCTTATGGTGGCTTCTGTTACCTGCCTTCCCGCAGCAGTTGTTTGCCAGGAAAACATCTAGTCTGGGCTGTGACAGGAAGCGGGGGCGCCAGGGAAGGCTGGCGGAGCCTCTTGACTTTAGTAGCACCTGCTTCCTAAGACAGAGCTCCACGTTTGT